AGCCAGCTCTGAAGCTGGACTGCAGAAGTTATTTGAAGACCACTAATATGTGTGGTGATTCAAGTAAATACTTTCTGTAAATGAAAGGACTGCAAGCAAGTGGATCTGCTTTGTAAAACAAAGAATAGAATTATCTTTCTATGGTGTCACGTTACATGTTATCAGAGAACATCCCATTGGCATACTTGAAGCAAAAACATCCACATTCCTGAAATAAAGACATACTTATGTAGTCCATTATAAAGAAAAAGAAAGAAAACTGCTCAAAGGACTGAGTGACCAACAATGACAGACCTTAACTGAAACACGTTTGCCATATCCTTTTTTGCATTAAACCTAGAGTACCAAATTTTCTAACTTCTAGTCATAAAGCTAGTCCTGACCTTGGCTATACTCTATGAATAATGACAAAAGGATTGTTACCATTGTTACCCTGTGTATCTGGAATAGATCTAGTGTTTAAGACAAGGCAGACACTTCAAAGGCTGTAAAGATACTTTCTTTCTCCCTGCAAGCAATTTATCAGCATTCTTCCCAGGAAACAATAGACTCCAGGGGATTCCAGATGTCTCTGAATGGTCATTCTGCTTTTCCACTGGACTGCTCTGCCTGTGGTTAGGGAACCTATAACAACCTGTTCTCCAGACATTGACCGTCTGGCACTTTAGATGGCCCCAAGACTCACACAGTCTCACACATTTCCAAATTGCCTTAACTAATGAAGTAGCATGGGAGGAGGTCTTGGAATGCTTGCTCTAAGTCATTCTAATAGAGCATGTAAACATTATCGTTCTTATGCCATCAGTTGTTCTTTCTTTTTACCATGGCAGTGGCAAAACTTATTTTGTGGGAACAATTTAACTTGGGGATCTGTCCTCTGAATCTGTTTTGGCTTAATTCCATCAGCCTGGGGGGCTTTTTCCCTGAGTAGAACCTGTCTCCTTAACAAAGTAAATGAAAAGCAGAACCAAGACTACATGTTTTAAGGGCATATCAGGTCAAGAAGTGGATTTCCATTTGATTTTGAGGTCTTAAGTTTGTAGCTGGAATGGAGTATTTTATTGTTGCCTTTGAAGACTGAAAGATTTTTGAAGGCGACGGTAAATACTTACAAGAAGCTCAGTGCCCTTTAAGAGTAAGGCTGACTTTGTTGTTGCCTGCTTGAGATGCCTACTGCTGGCATTAGGACATCTAAAATGAGAGTGTGCGTGCTACCAGGATGAGTCAGAACAGTCACCCTTCTTCTGCAGTCAATAGATGAGTATTTGTTTCTTAAAGTGTTAGTTACCGTACTGAGGGGGAAGAGCTAGCCAAAAGAAATACTAATTACGTGAGGGACTGTCGTGGTTTAACCAATGCCAGACAGCTTTCACTCACTCACTCCCCCCCCTTCCTGCCCTCCCCTATTCTCGGAGGGACGGAGAGGAGAATCAGAAAGAATGCAACTCCCACGGGTTGAGATAAGAACAGTTCAGTAACTAAGGTATAACACAAATCACTACTGCTGCCACCGATAATAGTAATGATAAAGGAAATAACAAGGGAAGAGAATACAACACCCCATCACCAGCCGACCGATAACTTGCTCCCCCCAGCCCGACGAAGCACCGACCGATACCTCCTCCAACCCTGCAGTCCACTCTAGCCCCTTCCGGGTCCCTCCCCAGTTACATCCTGGGCATGACGTGCTGTGGTATGGAATACATCTTTGGTCAGTTTGGGTCAGGTGTCCTGTCTCTGCTTCCTCCCAGCTTCCCTCCTCCCTGGCAGAGCATGAGGCCCACAAAGTCCTTGGCCAAACCAAAACATCATCGTTTTTCAGCTCTGTTCCCAGCTGAAAGTCAAAACACAGCACTGCACCAGCTACCAAGAAAGAGAAAAATGACTGCTGCTGCTAAACCCAGGACAGGGACTCTAAATCACGGTTTGTAAGGAGCCCCTGAGTCAAAACTACACTTCAGGCACCACTGTCCCTTGCTGTCCCTTTAATCCTGCATGATGAGTCCTTGACTAAATGAATTTGCATGTGTATTTCTGCAGAACAGCCTCCTGTTAGATCACTCAGACAAAAAGGCTATGTAAAATGTGCCCTCCACATGAGTGTGCAAAATTCAGGCACACAATTCCGACTTCTCCAGAGAGGTCACACTGCAGGTAGATGAAGTTATTGAGATAGAAAAGTGAATAGAATAAAGATATCCTAGGTCAATTAAACGCACATCTAACTTCCAGTGGCCACAGTGGTTAGGTATAAAATGACTGTAACAATACCTTATACTTGTATGTGAAAGGTAAAACATTTTTGTACAGACACACTAAGCTGAGTGTCCATGATCTGGAGCTGAATTCCATCATTGTGTCTTGACTCAGTTGCCTAAACTGGGGTGTCTATGCATATATATATATAAGGTATATATATATCTAAGGTATGACCTTTAGGAGGCTTGAACCAGTCTTTTGGTACCAAATATTTGTCTAATTGGCTATGCTGAAGTATTCTAGTTTTAGGAAAAGCTGTTGAAGACAGTGTGTAAGTACTGCCTAGATTATTGTTTACTCCTATTCTATTGTTTACTACCAGTGTCTAAAGATAAGAGACTCTCAGTTACTGCAGCTGATGTCCTCTCCCTGAAAATACATATTTTTTTTCATTGATAGGTACTTCTCTTGTGCTTAACACCAATTTGCAAATGAAGAGAGCTCTACAGAGAGGGGGGCTGTGAAGGCTTTTATTATACAGCAAGTTTGTGCTCAGATGTGAATCCATACATTTGGGGGTATTTCAACCCTAAATTAATGAGGCTGATTATACTGATTTTGTTACCTGTTTCAGATATTGCTCATTACTACCTTTACTTACTGTGTCTCACTGTATTAAATATAGGAAACCTCACAGAAAGACAGTACCTTTTATGAAGAAATACTCCGTGTCTGCCATAGGAGTTAGGTTTTCTCTCTGTCTCTTGCACTGCTACCTCATCTCCTTCTTCCACAGGTATTTGCTTTTGAACTTCTCTCCTCCTAAACCGTCTTTGCACTATGAAGTTACACACATGAGAAGACAGCATAGCATGTTGTTGCAATACTGTCTTCTCTGAGGGTGATTGAGATTAGAATTTCAAATTGTACCTAAGAATGAAGAGTTCTTAAGAATTTTAAAACTGAATGTTCAGTCACCTTGACTATTTCCTTGAGCCTTGATGTCTCCCTTTAAAAAATACTTTTCAGCTTCTTTGTGTCCCTGTGCATGGAGATAACAGATTCATAAACTGCAGGAATTGAAAACAGTGCAAATTTCTTGAGTGTGACTAATCATTACCATTTCTTACAAAAAAATCACTTACTCTCAGCCAAGTTTTTATAAATTTTAATATGAAAACATCCACACCTATCGTGTCTCCCGCAAGGTCTTCCTTGGCTGCTGCAGAAATGTAGTCTAACTTCTTTTGCTTTGGCTTGAGATGAGGATATGAATTCCTCTGGCTAATCGCTTTTTGGATAACCTACAAAGCACCAGGGGTCAAATTCTTGGCCTGATAACATTGCTTTTCACTGTTCTGGCATGATGCCACAGCTCCCATCATGCGGAATCCCAAGTAGGAGAGTGAAAGGAGGTCAGGGTATTCCTTACTTCAGGCACCCACATTTCCTCAGCTGCTGCTGTACATGGTGGTAAAAGGGAGCAGCCTTAAAACTGCTCAGACTTAAATGGAGGGTTGAAATGGCCCCCAGTGTGATGATTCTGCCCAGCTAAAACTTTACTCTCTGTTGATTGACCTCAAGTATGAAGTATCTGGTGACTTAAGCAAAGATATGTGGTAGACACATTTTCTAAAACATTAACCAGGCACTTGCTCTCCTGGAAAATAGCTTTCAAGTTCTTGCTAGTTCTGTACAGTCTGACAAACACACCTTAAAGGTGCAGATGAACATTATCAGTGTCAAACAGAGCACAGACATGCACACACACCTGGTATTTGTGTGTGTGCTCCTTTGCATGCAATGAACAATTTAGGCTGCCCTTTCTATCTGTAGAACCAGAAGCCCATCCCTGTAAACTTTGCCTATTAACAAAGCTGAAGTACAACCATATCCCTCAAAAAACCCATGATGACCATAAGGCTGATTTATGTACCATGGCTATAACATGTGACATCTGAAATTGTTCAGCTGCATTCAGCAAATAGAAGAAAAGGAAGAGAAGATATATCCAAGTCATGCTGACCTTCCCCTCATCTCACTTGCGTGATGCTGTCATATATGCTTTATAAAGTAACATGATATTTGCTTGAAGGTGCATGCCAATATCTCTGAAAAGTATATACTGCCCACTCAGTGAATCAGGCTAATCCTGAAACTAGTTGTTTACAATTATAACCTGATGATGCTACATGGAGAACTATCCCCCATCATATTAGGGAGACCTTGACAAAGAAGGGGAGCATGTGTGGAGTTCTCCACCCCTGTAACCAGAAGGTAAATCTTTCTTTTTCCACAATAGAGTCCCAGTCCCTGTGCACATGGAGTTTTGTAGAGATGGGGATGCTGTAATACCACCTCTCATCTGATTATGTGGTGGTTTCTTTTCACTAGTGCCATGGAAAATACGAGGTTTGTGACAAGGGGTAGAGGCAACATGTTAATGCACAGCTAAGGTGCTCCCAGAGCAGGTCTGTGCATCCCCCATGGGCTTTATTCCCATGTACTGCATCCACAAGGTTTACATCCAGCATAGGCTTCAGGCTGCAGACTGAGCTAGGAATAAACTTTGCCTTCAAAATCATAGATAGTTTGTTAACCAGACTATTTCTAAACCAAGAACACTCACTCCCAACCAAGAGAAAAAAAAATAAATGCCAGTTTTTAATCAACAGCTAAAAAAAAAGCCCCAAACCTAAAGCTTTCTTCACTCTTAGAGGGGAAACATCATGTTCCAGGTCTGGGATTTGTGGGGAAAAGAGATATCTGGTATTACACCAGTGTACCCTGCCCTTTCCATCAGCCAGGCTAGTGGTCCCATTGTGCAGGAGGAATACAAGTCTTCTGGTTAGCCAAGGCTTGGGCTAACATGCTCCAGGGGGAGCTGCATCTGTCCTTGCTCTCTGGAATGGAGGTCATCTGCTTTCCAGGAAAGAGGGAGGGGCTGGAAAGCCTTGAGATACTGAGCGTGGACAGCCTGGAAAACTGTACAGCCAGCACTTGTCTTACTTCTAGACACTCCACAGTAAGGAGTAAGGGATGCTGAATTGGCTTTGAACTCCCACCCAAACTTGCTTTGAACAAATGGAAGTGCAGGCAAGTAACATGCATGTTCTGTTAAGAAAATATAGAAGCAGCATTTCTGCATCTTAGTCTGTAGTAGAGTTGGCTCAGAGTACAATATTTGACTCTAGACTTGAAACACGTAGGTGTTTAAGTCTGTTTGGGGACAGGGGCTGTTTGCAAAGGTCAGACATTGACTCAGGTTGTGGTTGAGAGTGCACTGTAACTTTGATGTATTTCTACCTTGTTGGAGAAAAAGGGGAAAAATTGTCTCTGCATCACAGAAAAAGTCTGTTAATAATGTAGCCACTCTTTCATGATTGGGGAAAAAAATCTGAGTCTCTTGAAAGGCAAAGTTGGAAAATAGCTATCTTTTATTTCAAGAAATGAGGGTCATAATCAGACTATAAAACACACAGCAGCCTGAACCCTCTACCTAAATCCTCTTGTATTTTATGCCTCATTTTCTATTTCAGGTCTTCATTTGTCTAATTGCAACTCAGAGGCTGGCAGAGATTTTCCCTGCAGCTCTGCTGACTGCAGAGACCCTACCTGGTACACTAAGTTAGTGCGTCAGCATTCTAGGTAGAAATGAATGAAAAATCAATCAGGGCAACTGCAGTGGCAGCATATACAACTGTAACCTACTTTGTTCCTGGTTTCAAACATTTCATTGTGTATTTAGGCATCTTTTAAAATGGTAAGTGGATCTGAAATAAAAAAGGTCTTTGTAGTCAGCCGACGAAATGTTTTGTCATCTTAACTGCTTAGGTCAAGCAAACTTACCACCCTGACAGCTAAGTTAACTTGCAGTCTTGATTGAAATGTCAAAACGTATGAGAAGATTGTTTTAATCTTGAAAATCTATCACCAGCAGATTGCATCATGCAGTGGGTATAGATACAGTGATAGCTTTGATTGTTTTATTTGCAGACCAGATCTAGAGTAAGTCTAGAAAAACAAAAGTACACTAGAACCTTTTTTTGAAACACAGGTATTGCTCACAAATGATCTTGCAAGGAGTTTGGTTTATGGATAATTGTGTGTGTGCTTTTATTTTTTCATGTTGCATTTCTGCGTAGGCAGAGTTAAATATGGATTGGCAGTTTCATTTAATGAAATTCTGTGATAACAACATCCAGTCTTCATATCTAAAAAATTAGTAGCTGCTGTAACTTTTTCAGCTGAATGGGTTAAATATCTCATAAACCCCTTGTAAGACCATTGCTGTAACAAGTCATGCAGTGCAACACTGAAGGTATCCAAAAATTCACAAGCCTCTTTGTATGTGATGCCCTTACAGTGGAGAAGATTCTTTTAACTATAAAGATGAAGAGGCTACTTTTTCTGGTGCTGATTTCTGTCTGCTGGGCTGAACCTCACTCTGACAACTCAAGTCTCGGTCACGAAAGAATTGTTCACATTCAAGGTAAGGAAACACAGGAGAAAATACCAGTATCTACAGATTGCTGAGGAAAACATTATTGCTGAGAATAATGTGGTTAATGGGCCTTATTTTTTTATACAGTTGCGCTTTTTAAAATATACTATTATTACTGATGACCACACCTTTTATTTTCTGGTTCTGTTGCATTACTATTACTCCTACAGAAATTAAAAAAAAAAAGAAAGTTGCACTGTTTACTAGCACTTAGTCACAACCTTGCAAATATTAGTGAGTAAAGTACAGCATAATTTAAGAGAAAGGAAAAAAAACCATGCATCCTAAAGTAAGAAATAAGCAACTGCAATAGTTGTAACACCTTTAGTTTATTGTGGAATATATTTGATTTTAAGAGGTCTGTCATACATAGTTCTTCACATTACAGAAATTTATTGCTGAAATTTATTAAAAGGCTCAACACATCTGAGATCATAATTAGGAGATTTAAATTAGGGGAAAAAATAAAAAAGCTTACCCCAGAAGAAAATATGTCTTTCCTCATACCTTTAATTCGCACTAGATGTTACACTGGCCTTCTACATAATCGCATTTGATTCAGGTTTGAATCCTAGAGCTTATAGCTGTAGCAGGATTTGAGTCTGCAGTACAATGCAGCTGTTTTTTCAGTCCCTGCTTTAGTCATTGAGGGACATCCTCTGTAATAAAAAAGCAAGGGATTTATGCAATAAGAATAGGCAGAACTAACAGGGATTTTCCTGCTTTCATTTATAAATTTCTTGAGACTGGCTAAAATCAATCTTGTAAAATTAAGAAATGCAGCATTATTGTTCTTTCTCTCTCTTTCTCTCTCTCTCTCTCTCTCTCTAAGATTGATTCCTTTCTGTTTGTCAGCTGGCAAACTGTGTTGAGTGTTTGTGTAAATATGAATTACCAAGTTAGGGCAGGTTACTAAGAAAGCCTTGACATTCAGAAGTTCACAGGAAAGTCAGAGAAGTTAAGGATTCCCTGCACTTATTGAAACAGGCACTCAGATTGTCAAGGTCAAATAAGGAATAACAGATACCTGGCTTCACGTTAAGGAAACTCACAGGATGAAGGTCAAATGAATGTGTTGTATCAAAATGAAGGTATATCACTGTTGTGAGATGATGAATATTTGTTACCCAGGGTAAATTTCAAACTTGACATCAATGTTTAAGACATATATTGCCTTTTTAGGCATACATTGCCTTTCCTTGTATAATGCAGTTTTTTATCTTTGAACTCAATTTATCTTTTTGAAAGGTTAAATAAGTGGAAATAATTAAACTCATTCAAAACTTGCTTAGTCAGCATTTTAGTGTAATTCTAAAGTCATGCATGTGGCTTATCGCACTAGTCCTTCAGCTTGTGTACAGTGCAGTCTGCAAGTGCTAAATAGTTCGAAGGTGATAAAAATTTCAAGATGGACCATTATCCCTACCTATGAAAACTCATCAGAACCTCAAGTCTATTCCTTCAAGGAAAGCTTAAAATTGAGTTATGCCATGAGCTTAGTTCATCAGCTGCTTCAGGCTCTGAAATACATAGACCACAAATAAAAAAGAATAAAACTACTTGGAACTTACATTAGTATTTCAATACTGATTTTTTTCATTCCTTTTCTGTATTGTGGAATCCCAAAAGTTTGGGAGCCCACTATGCCCAATGCTGCATAAACATATATGCTGGAAATGAGGTGGAAATCAGGAAGCCAGTGGAACACGTGTTACAGCTTCATAAAAAAGATATTCTATATTACATTAAGGAGTGTAGCCTCTCCCTCCACAGCTGATATCCAAGAGATCTGTAGCTAAACTCCTTTTGGATTGCATGTTTTGGAGCCAGGGATAGATGTTGTGTAGGCAAGTACAAGATGTTGTGTAGGCAAGTTAAGGCAATCAACTAAACTGTCCTCTATTCCAGTTTCTTCACATCAGGCAGACTTCTGTAGCTCTAGTTTGATTTTTAAAAAAGAACACTGCTATAAGGTAATTTTGGGCACTATCTTTCTGCTACAAAAACCGCTCTCCTAGTTCTCCCTGTTTATTCACAGCCATTGTATGGCCTTATGCTTCTAGTGTTATTCCTTAGCTTCAAATAAAAAATTTTCTTCTTTGATGTTCGCCTTAAGATGTTAATAAGTTAACACCACATCCTCACAGCTATTATTTGAACAAACTTTTCCAGATTCTTACTGTCGTGGTTTAAATCCACCCAGACAGCTTTCACTTACTCCCCCCCCCCCCACACACACTTCTTGCCCTCCCCCTACTCTCAGAGGGACGGAGAGGAGAATCAGAAAGAAATGCAACTCCCATGGGTTGAGATAAGAACAGTTTAGTAACTAAGGTATAACACAAATCACTACTGCTACCACCAATAATAGTAATGATAAAGGAAATAACAAGGGAAGAGCATACAACACCCCATCACCAGGCGACCGATAACTCGCCCCCCCCCAGCCCAATCAAGCACCGACCCATACCTCCTCCAACCCTGCAGTCCACTCTCCATCCCCCTTCCGGGTCACTCTCCCAGTTACATCCAGGGCATGACGTGCTGTGGTATGGAATACCTCTTTGGTCAGTTTGGGTCAGGTGTCCTGTCTCTGCTTCCTCCCAGCTCCCCTCCTCCCTGGCAGAGCATGAGGCCCACAAAGTCCTTGGCCAAACCAAAACATCAGTGTTTTTCAGCTCTGTTCCCAGCTGAAAGTCAAAACACAGCACTGCACCAGCTACCAAGGAGAAAAATGACTGCCACTGCTAAACCCAGGACATTATCCACCCCTTATTCCATACCATTCACGTCATGCTCAGATCCTACATTTTCAATATACCATCACTCCGATCTCAGTGCACTTCTATCTTAGTGCAAAGACTAGTCCCTATAAAGCTGCTGAGTCCATTTGGTCCATGATGTCAGGCTCCATCTCTTGTAACAGTCTTTCAGAACAGGAGAGGCTGTGTGCAGTGTTCACACACATGAATAACCTGGGCAGTAGTGTCCATTGTTAGGTCCACCCCTCGATCATGAGTCCATCTCGATGTTGCATCTCTGCTCTGTTGGCCTTAAGGGTCATGGGCCCACCAGGCTCAAAATAATTCACTGTCCTTCCATCTCCAATGTTTCCAAAGCACTGGAGGGGCCCAATGGACTAGATACTTGCCCATACTGTCCCACATGCCCTGCCACTCATGGCTGTCCAGCCTTGGGGAAAACCTCTTGGTCCTCCCATATTGTTGTCTAACCCCAGACAAGACCCAAACCCGACTCTGCTTAAATTTTGGGATCAGACACAATGGTGGTGGGTAAAACACACTCTGCATGTGTGCCAACATAGTGAACACCATCACAATCAGCAGGCAGGTCCCAAGGGTACCCAAAGGCCATTCAAAACCTTCAGAACTCTCAAACGATGCTGCTGTACTTGTCACTGGGGCTGGTGTAGCTGCTGTGCTTGCCGGCTCTCCCACCACCAGCTTCTCTTTTCCTGAGTCCAGATCTTCCTCCTCTGCCTTGCTGGGAAATGCTGCGGGGTCTCCTGCGTCCTCCTGGGGCTCGGCGGGCGGCTTCCGGGGAATGCTCTCGGCCGTCGCGGGGCTGGGCTCGGCCGCGGGGCTCGGCTCCTCTGCGGTGCTCGGCTCCTCCGCCGCCTCCTCCCGCTCCTCGACCGCCCCGACCTCCTCCACCGGCAGCCGTCCCCCCGCGGCCTCCGGTACCGCCCCACGTTGGGCGCCAAAAAGAACTGTCGTGGTTTAAATCCACCCAGACAGCTTTCACTTACTCCCCCCCCCACACACACACTTCTTGCCCTCCCCCTACTCTCAGAGGGACGGAGAGGAGAATCAGAAAGAAATGCAACTCCCATGGGTTGAGATAAGAACAGTTTAGTAACTAAGGTATAACACAAATCACTACTGCTACCACCAATAATAGTAATGATAAAGGAAATAACAAGGGAAGAGAATACAACACCCCATCACCAGGCGACCGATAACTTCCCCCCCCAGCCCAATCAAGCACCGACCCATACCTCCTCCAACCCTGCAGTCCACTCTCCATCCCCCTTCCGGGTCACTCTCCCAGTTACATCCAGGGCATGACGTGCTGTGGTATGGAATACCTCTTTGGTCAGTTTGGGTCAGGTGTCCTGTCTCTGCTTCCTCCCAGCTTCCCTCCTCCCTGGCAGAGCATGAGGCCCACAAAGTCCTTGGCCAAACCAAAACATCATTGTTTTTCAGCTCTGTTCCCAGCTGAAAGTCAAAACACAGCACTGCACCAGCTACCAAGAAAGAGAAAAATGACTGCCACTGCTAAACCCAGGACACTTACCTAGGTGTCTAACTGCCAATTACTTGGTAACATTAGTTGTTCATTTCTACACTTGTTCCCATTTGAATGCACACTTCCTGAGTGTGCCCAGCCAGGATTTTATTCTGGATAATAATTTACACAGGCATAACTAATTATTTTTTTTTTTTTCAGCTATCAATGCACTGTTTTTCAGACTTTGGATCAAATTTGTACTCTTCCCAGCCATGCTACAGTGCTGATCAGTCATCTATTGTGATAGATAATATTTAGCAGTCATTCTCTCTCATCACTTGCAATTGCCAATTCCTAGGTTTATATGAATAATTCTTCATTATAGGTCTTCAAAATCTATGTATTCAGCATGAAAGGTTACCTTACAACTTTCATCCTTCATTCTTCAAATGTTCTAAATACTCATTCTCCTCCCTTCAGTGATGCATAATATGCCATGTGAAAATTTTATTAATTCAATGGTCACATTTTATAAGGTAAAATTAGTGGAAATAATAAGGAGTCTCAGAAATTATGCTGGAGACAGTTCACTAGACTTTTTTAATGCTAATCATTGATGTTTCAGACCAAGAAATAATCTCCTCTGTATCTAGTTCTTAGACACTTAACAAAGTTTCTACCAAAGCAGCTATTTTCTCCATCCTTATATCATTGGAAATGAGTTCAAGTAGTTGGTG